GCCATACAACTTTTTTTCGTGCAACCCTGCGCTGAGTTGAACGCAAAGTTGAACAATGCAAACACACTTTAAGCTTTATGGCGCATATTTTTGAATGTTGAGTGCATGAGATTCCGAGCCCTACTTATGGTACATATGTAATTAAGGAAACTGTGTGGATGAGGCCCATGGTGGGTGGGTGGTTGATAGAGCGCTGCTTAAAAATCGAAAAAGTTATGCGTACTGCGCAAAATACATCAATATTTAAAAATCTCATGTATAACATAGTGTAATTTTATTACACTGATATTTATTTAAGTAAATATAGATGTATATAAACTTACCAATATATCTGTGGTTTTTAAATAAATGCACCCGCGTTCCGCTAGCCTTGGCAATAGTGGGTGTGACGTAAAATTGTGGTATTTTGTTTTAGTTAATTTATTTTACGTGTACTTAAAAATGTTTCAGGCGAATCATTTTGGCTATTTTTATTACACACTCGCTGTTGTAGTCAAAGTTTTAGTTTTAGTTAAAATCTGTAGCTAAATGTTTGCACTAGCAAATTTTTCGAGATTTTTTTGGTATCCGTTTTTTAATATATGTATTGCCAAGTAATAATCGATGATTTCTTTAAATGCTGTTGCAGATACTTGTGTTGGACCACCACCACCACTGGTGGTTATGACGCACACCCTCGTATTTTTTTTCCGGAAAATAGAAAGAAATCACGTTCGGTTCATTTACCAAAATCGCACAGCTACTCGTTGGATTTTTCGTACACAACCGTGGCAATGCTCACTAAACGATTTAGTAATTTAACGAAGCTGTTTGATTATTTTTGTCAAAATTTAATCGTTGCTTTTACAATTTATAGAAATATACTGACGAATAGCATTATTTTATGTAAAATCGCAAATTAAAAATTCTTATCACTTAACGCGAAAAATAAACGTAGACTTCAGGAGAGAACTTTTCGGACTGATGAAAAAATCTGACAACTCGGAAACAGATGAGCAAAACAGTGCTGCCAAGTTTTTGCGCAAAAGTTTCGCACGTTGCCAGCTGCATTGAATACATTTTAAATATCAGAGAACATAATCCACTTATACTAGGTTTACATACAAGTAGATTATCTTCATTTTCGTGCGTAGAGAAATAAATTGGTCCCTCGTTTAGCTGTTACTACAAACTAATCTCATATTAACAGCCCTATTCCGCCACATTGACAAAACTCACCACGATGACAATTGATATAATAATGACAATTGCAGCCTTTTGGTATTCGCAGGAAAATTCAAAAGCTGGAATTATGTCAATTGTCATTTCTATTGTCATGATCTTCTGGGCAGGTGACAAGGAAAAAACTAATGTTTCTGTTGATTTAAAAAGTGCGACGATTTAATAAATTTGTGAAAAAAATGAGAGATGTCTGCCGTCCGTGGCCACCCACCTGTTCCAATTACATCCACATGCACTTTTCGTGCTCTGCAACGTAGCTGATTTCTACACGTCGCTAATGTCTGCCAAATAATGTGTGCATGCAAATGTATTCCTGCATAAATGAAAGATATAAATACATACATATGTATGTATGTAAATATACAAAACTTACATCTTTCCACTTTGCTACGGATATACGAATTTTCCACTTCACACAAATACTCACTTTTCTGGTGCTTCACCGTTCATATTTGTTGCAAATAGTAACGTTGACCAGCTGTTTACACAACAATAAACTTTTCACCATGCATGGTAAGTTTACAAAAGCTTTTCGCCTGTAATTTTTTGTTAGGAATGCCAACTTGCAACGACAATGACAAAATCACGACAATGAAGGTTGATCAATTGTCATTCTATTGCAAAACCGGAATAGGGCTGTAAACCGTTAACTGTACGGTGTCCAAGCTAGTTTTATCGATTATTTTTGCAAAGAGGATGCAAGCAGTGTTTAGAGATCGATGCCTCCTGAAACCCACTTAGTTTGAAAGTTTTCTTAAAAATCATGCGCCTTTTGTCCCTTTTCTTAGATTAAAAATTCTATATACACATTTTGACCATTTTTTTCATTAAATATATTTTGTTTCTTATATATTTAAAAATGCTTTTGGTATTTACTTTTCAAAGGCGTTTAAAATTTACATCTCTAGAAAGATTTTGACTGATTTTTTCCTTCTTATTATGTCAAAATTTGTCCGCAAAAGTTTCCAGAAATAGCCAGAATTAGTGCACCGTTGTTGTAGTTCAGCATTTTCACAAGTTATTTGTGATCATTTTCGTAGCTCACCAACAAATAATCTGATGAAATAAAGTCGAGTTTCACTTTTTTGCGACTTTCGAAAAATTGTCAGCGGTAACATTGGATGCAACATCGCGCTTTGGAAATGGCAACTCTGATAATCTACCATTTTTCTTCGCACACTCGGAATTTATCTTGTTTACGGTTGTCCGTGCCGCTCGCCCAATTGAATTAAATTAATTTGTTGGCCACGAACAAATTAAGCCGTAATTAATTTTTTTGTTTATTTTAGTTCTGTGTTTTTGTAATGTCTTAATTTTAATTGTGATTAAAGTGAACTCGTCATGTTTGGAAAGCTTTCATCGTTTTAAATTTGTGAATGGAAAAAGAAGAGAAAAGAATTGCAAACCAATTAGGCAGTGGCAAATGTTGGATATAGGAGTGGACGAGGTGTGAAGAAAGGTAACTTTAATGTAGAAAAAAGGTGAAGTAACAGTAGACTTGGCCTAAAACGGCGACTTCACCACGTAGATATATGAACATTCATACAAACACTCAAACACATACTTACGTATTCATTTTGGTCAAGAACGTACACGGGGTGTGGAGCTGCGCGGATAAAATATATTGTAGCTAATACGCAGGAAATTGTTAAATAGAATGAAGAAAAGCAACTAACATAAGCCGATAGTGGCAGAGAAACTAGATAGAGGAAACGCTGCTAAAGTATCAGAAGCACTACGAATGTTCTGCGCTTGTTGTATGGCGCCATTCGTTAATGGTCAATGTACGGAAAAATATGCTTTCATTTATGTGGAACACCAGACTCGCTGGAACGTACCCCAGAAAAGGTATCAATCACTTTTGATGGAGCTGTGGCAAATAGCCTGTGCCAAATTCCGAACTTAATAGCAGGAAAATCTGTAAAATACATTTCTATGTATTAATTGCCTCCAACAGCGCTGGTTGCGCATAAAACGTGCTAATGATTTACATATCTTTCGGCCGGCACAGTGAAGCATTTTCAACTTGTTGCATGATTCATGATTCATGGTCGGTTGGCAGCAGCGAAGATAGTTAAAAAGGGCACTCCAATTACTGGTTAAGGTGTTGCCACAGCACCTGAAAGTGTTTAAAGAGCGAACGCAGTTGAAAAGAATTGTTGCAATTATTTTTTACTAGAATATTGTTTTCGCAAAAGAATTGGATGCTCATTTTCCATAATTATTTACATAATTAATGCTGGCATGTCTACGCTCTCGTGTTACATATATAGTATGTGTCTGTGGAAATGAGGAATAACAACATATGTATAATATGCATACCATTCTTATTGTTACCCAAACTAAAGGGCCCAATATATTAAAGTCAACCTTTCGACTTGAGGTGTTATTTCTTTTTGTAAATGATATATGAATCCACTTAGCTTCATTGGGAACAAACCACTTGTGGATTCACGTTCGCATTTGTTTACATTTTGTAATTCAACTTCATCATCGTCTTCATTGATTGCTATTCGTTGTCACACTGCGAAAGGGGCGGATGGATGCTGGCGCATATGAGTTTATTATCGCCCACTCAAATCTTGTGTGACACACCAGCAGGGTTGCCACGCTGTAGCGGACATTAGTAGGAAATATAATTTTTTAAGGGATATTTTTAATTTGCATAGTGAACAATAATAATTTATATTTTATGATAAACTTTTACTTGCTTTTTTTAAATGCTATCCATTTTATCTTTTTGCAGCTACTGTTCATTCGAACTTACTCTTTTAATAATAACATCCACAATCGAAAGTGTGATAAACTTTTACGTGAAAAAAGTTTAGTGCCTTCAACGCTTTACATATTGACATATAAAAAAATTACTCATTCTCGAAGCACAAATGCAGAAAATGCCTTCTCAAATCATTCCGGACGGCACAAACGCCAACAGTGCCACCAATGAAATCAAAGTGAAAACGGCCTACAATGGCGAAATAATGATAACCTACATCGAGGAAAATATTACTTATGAGAATCTATGCCATGAGATACGCGGCATATGCCGTTTTCCATCTGATCAGGTAAGCATGATCACCTCAGCTAAGTTTTGAATGTTTAATTAAAAAAAATTCTAATATTCTTTTGCAGCCTTTCACCATTAAATGGGTGGACGAAGAGAATGATCCTTGTACTATAACTACGCAAATGGAATTGGACGAGGCCATACGCTTGTATGAAATCAATCGTGACTCCGAACTGGTTATACATGGTGAGTCGGATTTTACATTACAAAAATGGAGAAGGGATAAAAGAGCACAACTTTGTTTACACTATCTTTCGTTGCATTATAAAACTTATCGTAAGCGACATTCTGACGATTTTTGGTAATAGATGCAGTTATATATTTTAAAACAAAATTTTTCAATCGGTGCTATCAGTTTTATTGACTAAAACATTTTGTCGTATTTGATACAAAGTGGCTGCAAAATTGTTGACAAATGTCGCATACGTTAAATTTTACTAAAGAATCCTTAATGAATTCTAAAGTAATAAACAAGAAACAACAATCAAACTTCAATGTCGATTTCCCAAAACCATTTAGTTGGTATGTTTGTAATTTAAATCTGCTGTGCTGAAGCTTACGAGTATACTTGTAAATATCTTATCATCATGAATTTCTACCAAACGTTTGATTGATCTGCCAAAACACGGCACTCAGGACAACGACAGGATGCCTTCTGATGTCGCCGCAAAATCACCTGCACGACGAAGCCGATATGCTCCCTATTATGGATCATAACACAATGCTCTGCAGGCAGTTTCTAGTTGGGAGCCACAAATAGACAAATGATCGCTGATGAGCCCTCGCCAAGGCACTTCAGGAGGCATCTCAACGAACTGACGGACAAAGTCCCGAGATTCATCAAGCAGCCTCTGGATCCGTCAGCTTACCGACAGGTCTTTACCGACGGCATTTACAGAGAGGCAGTCTTCGAGTTATATGGACTCTCGGCATATGGACATACCTCATCGAGGCTGCACGCTTCCTGGGTCTACCGCTAGTAGAGCTTGACTACAACGATTGTGGGACTAACCGATTTGGGCGGGGTTTTTGTAGCCGCTACAACAACAAAAACAACTAAACATTTTATTCGATATACTTACGTACATAATTGTAATGAGCCTAAGTGTTACTATAAAATCTTTCGGTTTAATGTATCTTTTATTGCGTGATATTGCATGTTGTTCAAAAGGACGAAAAAAACAGATCACGCTCGGCCCACAGTGATATTTGGTCCCAAATTCGTGCCTATAAAGCCAGGTCCCGACCGTTGCATCTGTTCCTATGATTAGTGTGAAAATGTTAGTTGACGCAGCGCTCTGAAAAGTAAAAATTGAATGCTAAAGTTTAAAAGAACGCCAAAAGCCATAGAGGCGATCGATTTTAGTTTTGTAAAACAGGATTTTCTTCCACAGATCTGTTCTATATAAGGTTTAATTTAAATTTTTTTTAATATGTTCAACTGTGTAGTATTTAATGAAGTATTCAAATGAATTTTTTAATGAAAACACTATAATGAAAATGTCATAAGTGATTTTTTCCTGGTTTCACCACTAAAAAATGTATGTTTATTTCAAGATTATTGTATTTTAGACTATAAAAGGGTCATTCTTTTGAAAAGAGGAAAACGACATAAATTTAAATATGCATTCCTCCCGAAATGCGCCAGATTAAATCTCTTAGTGTGCACCTCTGTCTCCTAAGCTCCTCCTTTATTGTATTGGGACCTACTCTCAGTAAGGGCTGTGGGCCAACTGGAGTGATGGCTGCCGCCTCTCTAGCGAGACAGCCAGCCACCTCATTACCCTCTGCTCCCCTATGGCCTCGCTAACCTGATGGTATTGTGTCTGGCTGTACTATCATGAAATGAAGCCATCTTAGGAACCTAGGGTTATCCCCAGGATTTCCTGCCAGACGCTTAGCACGGAACGTAAGCTTTCGCAAGGTTGTTTCTCATTATGTGCACTAGGTGTGGTATTAAGACCTCTTCTCCCTGCTGTAGCATGACTGGACAGATGCCATCTACCCCTGGGACCTTATTGCGCTCAATCGAGCTCAACGCCAATCTGACTGAATTCTGGGTGAAAATACTTCTTGCCAGTTTCCAGCCACACTGTCGCGGTCTAGTTCTAAGGTAGTGGCCTCTGCGGCTAGGTCCCATATTACCATGTTATGTTCTTCTTTGAGACCACTTACCTGGCCTGTGTAGGCCCACGGCTCATGAATAAGTATAATGCCCAGTTCATCCGTAGAAAATTTGCTCGCAATAACAGCCGAGGCTGCAATCGCATGGTGCAGGTTGATGTGGGCTACTTTCAAGGGCGGTGGTTGCCTCTTCATCGCTCGTCGGGGTCCGAGAGCCTTTGGTTGCTCTTACTTCTCCCACCGAGCTCAAGCCTTCTTAGGTCTAATCCCTCCATCAGCTCCTGCGTTGAGGGGACCTGACCCTCTGTAAGAGCCGCTGAAACTTTCTGGTTGGTACCTCGCGTGTTAGAAGATTGGGCTGGAGATGCGGGCTGACAAACCTGCGCGTCCTCTTCCGCTGTAGCTGTTGAAGCGGGGGGATCTTCGTCCACCTGCATCTTTTTCTCCTCAGCTTCCTTATCATCTTCTGCTGCCTTTTGACGCCAGGGCCTCATTGTGACGTAGCTGAACCTAAAGTTCAGCTTAAACTCAGCCCTTCTGACGCTGTTGAAGGAATCTTCGTCTATGCCCACGTTTAGACGTAGGCCAGTATCCTCAATGCTGTTCGAGATGACGCGCCACGCTGGTGTATTAAGACATTCGTTTTACGCCCTTAGCAGCCCCATCACATAATCTGCCGATCAATCAGCACCTCTCGGCAGGAAGATGGTCATATTATGCATGGGTGGTATTTCATTACCCCGTTTGACGCATAGTACAACTCCCTTCCAGCTCCGTAGTTTTGGTGCAGCCTCTTCCAGCCATTTAGCGCTCCTCCGGACTCAGCGCCTCTGCGGAATAGTTTCGAGGCAGCACCGCGTCTGTCCTCCGCAGGGCCCCAGTGCCAACCCGCGGGTCCCGATGCCGGGAGGGGTGAAAGCACTCGCTGCTTCTTCGGAGCAGAAGTTTGGGGTGTTAATTGCCCATCTTCCGCTTTGCAGCGCGTGCGGTCTCGCCGAAACCTCTTACACTTTTCTCCTGGTCTCCTTGCTTTTCATCATGGCGATAATGCCCGCTTCTCCGCTTTTCAGCAGGTGCGGTCTCGCCAGCGCGCCTATCGTCTCCTGCCCGAATCGCGGGGTTGCTTATCGCGCCGCTTTTCAGCGGGCTTGGGTTCTGGCTCTGGTCTGATTATGGCAACTTAACGTAACTTTCAGGCTCTCACTTAAACATTCTCTTAAATGGATGCTGCTTATAACTGAGCAGCCGAGACTTAACGTAACTTAATGCCACGTCGGATCTGTTTCATTTTGATTTCAAAGTTCTACGTCCCGTTAAGTTAAATTGCCATAATCAGGATTTTATTTATTTATTTATTTGTTACAGTCTTACGACTTAGTAATACAACTATGATATTCGTACATATGTATATGAATTGTAATGTTCTTATTGCAAAAATTATCAATTAAATATAAAATTATGTATACAAAAACTATATATATTATATTACATATGTCTATATTAGGCCGCATGAATAAAAATATGCAATTGCCCCCTCCAAAAAGTCCCGACCTTCCACTTCAATTTATTTGAATAATCGAGTACAAGGTCGGAAATTCCAAGAAAACGCAATTGCAGTTCCAATCATACGGCAGAGGAGGCAAATTAGGCAAGCGGTCTGAACAGGCAAGTTCCAGGCCATATTGTTAGGGCAGTTGGAAAGGACTAGTTTCCAATCTGCACCTTCCCTTCTCATATTATTGCCACAGTTGTTAGGGCAGTTGGAAAGCATTAGTTTCCAATCTGCACCTTTACTTCTCATATTGTAGCTTCAGTTGTTTGGGCAGTTGGAAAGGACTAGTTTCCAATCCGCAACCTCACTTCTCATATTGTTGGTTCGGTTCGATCAGGATTTCCGATGTTATACACGCTGTCTGAATGGACTAGATCCAGAGCAGCACTGTTTGATAGGGTAGGAGGGCGGTGCTTCGGGGATTGGTGTTTCGACTCTGTCAAGATTTGCAGATTCAGCAAGCTGTCTGAGTGGGTTGGATCCAGAGCAACCCGGCTGGATGGAATGGATTCGTTTCCATGCCGAGCCTCTATATGATAGGTAGTGTTCGACAGTGATCAAGTAATGATCTCTGGAAGCTGACAATGCTTTCACAATTTCTTATTTGTGGCGGTAGTTCGTTAAAACACTTTAATCCTTTGTAGAATATGTTCATTTTATCCACTTCTGTCCTATATAACGGCAATCTAAAGCTATTATTTTCCCTGAGTATGTATGAATGAGTTTCATTTATATATCTGAGATTGTCGCCCAGGTAGTCCGGCAACCGACCATTCTTTATATTGAATACGAATTTCATGGCGTGATAAAAAATTTGCTGCTTAACATTCAGCCAGTTCATATCGGCGAGCATCTCTCGTGTGGGTGCATCGTGACGCTTATTCAGTATAAATCGCATTGCTCTGTTTTGCATTTTTTGTAACTTGTCGATTTGTGTGTCGCTTGCCATGAAAAAGATCGGATTTTACTCGCTGTACTGCCCGCTCTTTCGCTTTTCGGCGGGTGCGGTCTGACTGCCGGTTACCTCAATACCCTGTTGCTGGTGCTGCCCGCTCTTCCGCTTATTCCAAGGTACGGTCGCTTTGCCATCGCACTCTTTGCGACGACTCCTGCTGGGGCGATCTGGCGAGAGCCAGTTTCCTGGCTTCCTTGGGAGCTTTACCTTTTTGTAGGCACCTTATGTAGTGCCTCGTTCTGGAGCCGCTGAGACCAAATTGCCTACGGTCGTCTAGCGCGCCGGGTTGCCCTGGGCATGTGACTGTTGGTGGTTTCGCCCGCCTATCCATATAGCGGTCTCTCTCACGCCGCATGGATTCACGCGATTTTATTCAGCCGGACTGGCTTGGAGACCTGCGTGCCTACCTCTGTACCTCTTGTCTTCATCGGTGATTCTCAACGCTCTTTCGTGGAATATACTACCACACGTTGAGGGCTCATCGTCTTCTCTCTCGTGCTCAATGAAGAGAGTTGTCTCGGCCTCGGAGAGGCCTTCCAAGAAGCTCTTCCTCCGTTCCTCTTTATTTTTCCCTTTCTTTTCCGTATTTGTTTCTTTGTTTGTATTTGTTTCCTCTTTGTTGTTTTTTTATTATTATTTTTTGGTTCATTGTTTCTTAGTTGTCTTCATCCTTTTCTTACGACCGCGTACCTGACCTGCTAGGCGTAGCAGTCTACAAATGTGCTGGGGATCCCGAACGTCCGTCACGCCAGCGCCTCTTGTCGCGGAAAGGCCACCGTTACTCCTCGAGGCGGCCGGGTGTCGAGAAGGCGCCGTTAAAATACAGTCGGTTTAACTTCCTGGCTGCAAATCGTCCAATAGGCACGGTATCGCGTCACATCTTGTATTAGGAGGCGCCAGCTCTTGGTCGCTGTGCGCCAGCAGCCCAGAAGCTGCATGAGCGGCCGCGTTACCCAGTCCAGGAAAGGGCTGAATGGAGATTCAGCTAAGCCTCGCTCCAACGGCAAGGTGCCTGCTATTTCCAACGGCAAGGTGCCTGGATTTTCCGCTAAAGGGCTGTTTTAAATTTGTTCTCGTCACAGAGCAGGC